ATTTGAACTTTTCATAGAGATACATTTTCTCTATTTACTCACGCGTTCAAAGGTTTCTCGATGAATGCATTCATACATTTCAATATTACTCGTACTGCTCTTTCTCCCTGCTATATAGTAATCATCCAAATGAAAACATCCGTTCACGTCCAGGAATAGGAAAATCAAGACGGATAAAAATTTCTTGCTCTCAATAGATTGAATGAAGGAGCATTTTTGTAAAATCAAATCGAAATGCGTGATTCTGAGTTGAATATATGAATCATGTGAATAGCAAACACGACGTTAAATTGCAATTAATTTTGTGAATGAAATTCAATTAAATTTGGATATCTGAAAGGAAACGAGCAACTTGCACCATTTTGCAAGTGTGAATGTTTGAATTTGGCATAGAAATCTGCTGTCAATCCATTCAAAGAGCTGTGAAAAACCAAAAGGTCGTTTCAGCGCTGTTAATGAAAGTTCTGATTGAAAATAATCAGCTGCATATGATTTTTCATCAGTTGGTATAAAACAAATTTGATCTGACCGAGAAAATTAACCATTTTTATTCTGCACTGAACAGTTTGCAAACAATGTATTATTGCAGTAACGTGCTCAATGTAAAATTGGTATAAATTTAATTACTGAACTTCTTGTTAACCCTCAAGAATTTACCCTGCTGCATTAGGCACAGGTCTACAACATCCAACTCGCACGTTTTCACATACTGATGAACAATGATACTCGCCTCTCTCTCATGTCCGCAGTTAATGAGTTCTCTTCTCTATTCAGCTAATTGTTTAAGTGAGAACTAAGAGAACTAACGCCAGTGTTGTGCATAAATATACGGACAAAGGTTTTGTGCTGGAAGTTCTGCGAATTTAATTAGCCATAAGACAAAAGCGGTAGAGAGTGTAGGAATGAATATTAATGAGGCTTTAAGCACAAAAGCCTTTGGACGGAAATTTCAAAAATTATGCGCATTTTATTTTATCAGATGCTGACGGAGGGCAAACTCACAAACATAGCATTTTCGGGGAAATTGCCCGAGTTTTTTCCCTTTGGAATGATGCGAAGTGGTTTGTTGATTATCAGAAAAAACACCAGCTCCGTTTTAATTAAATTTCGCAGAGGGTGCAAAAACACAGAACGTTTTACGTACTATCGGCGAGATATTTGTTTTGTGCGTCCTGCATTTGAATGAGGGCGGAGAAGAAAGAGCTTGTTTGCGCTGAAGATGTTACGTATAATTTTACAGCATTTGCTCTGGTATTTCATTCCGCTGGGCACAATATCTATTTGCCTGTGCTCCAGTTCCACGAGAAAACGTTAAGTGTGAGAACATTCTTTGCACTACATACTTTTATGCTACTATTGTAATAAACTTATAAACTGTAACAATAATTACACTAATTAAAATTTAAATTTTTTACTCTTTAGTGAATTAAATAATATAAAAATATTTTATTTAAATTAAATTTTTCCATTTTCAATGCTTGAAAGTGAAGAATAATCAAGCTATACAATTAGCACCAGGTTGACTTTTAAGACATATCAAATTTTGAAACCTGATGATAGATTATTATTTGAAAAGCTCGGAATGTTATCCACTAACTATCTGGCTGCTTCACAGTAAATTTCAATTGGGCCCGCATTGATGTGAAATAAAAATAAAAACTGCAAAAACAAAAATTTTCTTGCTACACTGTAAAATCAAGATTTATCTGAAAAAAGAGGCAAAACCGACAAGGAAAGCCGCAAAAAATGAAATCAAGATATATGTATGGTGGCACTCAATCCTTATAATTTATCATTTGCAAAGCGCAAATCGTTCAAATGGCATTACCATGTCGCAGGGTAGTATCGATCCGCCCCCATGTCTTTGTCTCCAACCTTCAGAATGGTATATTAAAATGCAACCGTGCCAGTAGCGGGATAAAAAGCCGCCTCGCTCTTTTCTGTGCAGGGTATTGCGCCAAGTCCTTGATAAATTCATTCAGAAAGTGAAAGCCCACGAATTCCTTTGTGCGCCTTTATTTATTTAAATGAAACTGGCGCTGCTGTTGCAGGGTTTGCGCTTTTCGGCTCGTCGTCTCACCTCCGACGAGAGACAAAAGCACCGAGACGAGCTTTGTTCTTGAATCTGGATAAAATTAACAAAGCTGCGACGTGAGCGAGCGAAGCCATTTTTTTATTATGATGCAATTTACGAATTCAGTTCGCACTTTGAAGCAATTTCCTTAGAACCAAATATTCATCGAGTTCGTATGAATAAGAGTTTCATTTGCAGGTGATTTGTTGCTTTTTGTACTATGGCGGCATGCAAGACATGGCATTAGTGCTGCTTACACTTCATTCACCATAACAGTCTGTCGTATTGCTTCCCTTGGGAATTTTCTCAACGTGAAATTGAATTAAATGTACAACGAACTGAGCAAACATTGATTATTAAATTCAATTTCAACTTGCTTATTTTGTTCCTCTCTCAAATCCCAGGCGAATTATAATGATAGATTAAATTGTTGTTAATGCAGTTAAATTTCAAAATAATTATAGCAGTGTCTCCAATCTATAGCTCTGCACCGTTTTCAATTGATGGTAGGACAAATTTAAAGAACTCTGAAATTGCACAACAATAATGAATTTGAAAGTTACAAACAAAATTTTCTGTTTGGGACTTTAATATTATAAGAAAGTGTGTTGCTTTTTGTGTTATTTATAAATATAAAGTCTTTAATTAAACAAACAATTATTTCATAAACTTTTTCAATTATGAAATACTTAAATATGTTTGCATGGCGTATTCATTGCAGGGAAAACTTTTCTAGGAGTTCTTATTTATTTCCTCTAAATGTAATTGCTTTTTTTCGTTAAATTAATGACAAAGTTCTCGCGTTTTTTTCACGTCTTTCACCTTGCTTTAAGGAACGCACGAAATTCTTATTCAAAACAAAAAAATGCTCCAGTGGCAATTTGTTAAAATTGCCGGGCTGGCGAACGGATCATCAGCCGACGGACGGTTACAGCGGCGCGGAATTATGCATACGTTGTATGGCGTGTTGACCTGGAGCTATGAATGGGTTGAGGAAAACACTTAAGATACGCGCTTAGTTAGTATAACTGTTTCTACCGGCTGCGATGGCGAAAATATTTTTATTACAGACGCGCATCTTCTGGGCTTCTCTCTGCGGCGGTCGCGACCGTTTGACGCCCGAACAGCCGATTGGAATTTTTTTTTATCATTTACGCATAAATTTTATCCCTCTCTCACTCGATTGAAATTTCCAGTTTCAGACCCGAATTTCCAGATGAAGAGAGAAATTCCCTTCAGAGCCTCAATTTATATTAAATCGGCGTTTTCAATATTTAGTACGTAAATTATGATGAATGAAGGCAAATTTATGTTCTTGGATAATCAATTTCCTGTTCCTTAATTTCACGTCAGTCGCGTTGAATTATATTTTTAGTGTATTTGCTATTAGCAGAAAATCGTGGAAATATCGATCTGGCACCTCCTGACGCGTTTCTGAACGTGACACCTCCTCCTCGTTAAGGTGTGGTGTTTAAATTGGTTTTCTTTCTGCTGCTGCTCAATGCGCGAAGTACTTTTTACACACTTTGATGGAAAAAAATTTGCGGGGGCGAAACATTACAAAAGTAACTTTTCCGTCCCAAATCAAGAAAGAAAAACACGTTCCTAAAGCGAGCGAATTTCAGCAAGGCATGTGAATCTCGTTTATTATTTTCAACAAAACCAGGGGTGTATCAAGCTTACCTCTGAATTTGATTACAAAGACTTTATCAATATTATATACGCTCCACTTATTTATTTATAGTTATACACATAAGAAATATGTGGTATTGAAGCGAAAGTTATGGCAATTAAGTTATAATTGCAGAAATTCCCTTCTAAAAAATAGGGAACTAAGAGTTTCTTATACATATATTTTGAGAATATTATTATTGCTTTCATTTATAAAAAAAGATATTTAACATCTTTATATAATTCAGAAACTGAGTGAGAGAACCAATGCTCGGAAAACGAATCAAAATGTCCAAATTTCAACATTTAATTAGTAAAATCTTAATTTTTTTCAAGCAGATCAGGATTTGTTTCCAAAAAATTAATTTTTCCATATTTAAAACTTAAAAATAAAGACAATCGGCAACACACTGAACGTGACTAGGATCTTGATTTGGCTTATTGGAAGCTCATCAGCTAGCCACACGCCACAATCTCACTAAAAAATTAACAGCTTTCATTTCTGTTTGAACTACTCTTATTCGCTCTTATTCATTTTATATTTTGCAATTTTACTTTGATTTTTTTTAAGAAAGTTAACATCAGCACTATGTATGCTTATATCAGAGTCAATTAAATAATTCTATTTACAATATTTTGACATTTTTACGAAAATTAGAAAATAAAAAATAACTAATACTGCAAATATAAACTTTAAAATCTTTAAGAGGACAAAATATGTGAGAGATGAGTTAAAAATAATTTATTTATTAAAGTAATTAGATATTCAACTTATTGTTAATGGAGAAAATTAAAAAAAAAATTCAAAAGAGAAAAAAAAACAGAACTCTCATTTCATCTAACTTTTTAGTTGCATTGTGTTTGATCTATCACAAAGGCAACTGCTGGTCAAGACAGATTGTTTGCAAATAAAAATCAATTTTTAGACTTTTACCAATTAGCAAATAATTGCGTTGGTGAAAACTTTGAAAATTAAATATGATTTCCCCCATGGATGAAAAAATAAATATTTTTTCCACTTAATCTGATCTTGGTGAAATATAGTTGAGATGTTTGAAATCTACGCAGTTCCAAACATACAGCTTATATAATTAAATCCGCACTTAAGAGGCTTCCAAGGAGACGTTGGCAGTGACCTTTTCTTTCACAAAGGGGGCGATATGATTTCCCTAAAGAGCGAACTTATAATATGCGTGTATGCGTCTAGAATGACACAAACGAATGTACTTTTACTTATAGACTGATTGTGTTGCAGATGTGAGGCTTCGCCGCCGCCGCCGATTCGAGTCTGCCGAGCGGCACCTGCACGTCACAAGATGCGACGTCGCCCATGTTAAAGCACATGCTGACCCCCGCGTCCCCGGGGCCGCGGGCCCAGCCAGTGGACCTGCTGGGCATGCCGCGGCCGAACCACCACCCGCGAGGCGGGCACCCGCTCAACCTGAGTCTGCAGTCGCACCACAGCGGCCGGCTCAACCACTCGCACCTCTCCACCCTGAGCACCTCGAAGCACTCGCTGGGCGGCAACTCGAGCAGCGTCAGCCCTGGCACGGCACCCCTGCAACCCTCGCTCGCCCTCGTGCACTCGACCACGCTGCCGCCCGTGCTGGCGCCGCCCCCGCCCATCAAGATGGCCAACGGCGGCCTCCACCTGGCGCGAAGGGTGCCACCTTCGGCCACCCAAATCTCCAGGGAACCCACCCCCAATGGGGTGGCGTCCGGCGGCGGCCACCAGCCCGGCGTCCGCGAGATGATGACCTCCCTGGGCCTGCTGTGCCTGGTGTCGCTGCTGCTGGCCCTGCTGGCGCTCATCTTCCTGCTCAAGATCTCGCCAGCAGCCGAAGTGGCCCCCAGGGGCGGTGAACTGAGTGCGGTGACCTTCGAGGAGTATGTGGTCGTGTACGAAGTGACGCTGGCGCTGTGCGCGCTCACCCTGTCGCTCAACCTGTGCTGTCTCTTAGTGTGTGCCATTCAGTTCCTCTTCGCGGTGAAACTGGCCAGATCAGCGCAGGACGGCGAGAGGTGAGCCCTAAATATTTTTTTTTTCTTAGTAATTCAATTTTAAATATTTATTGCTTGTGAATTGAATCTAATTTATATTGAGAAACTTGTCATAAGGAAAATAGTAAAATTTTGTAACAATTGCATTCATTGTTATTGTCTACGGAAGGACCAAATTCATATATTATAAGAAAATAATTGAAAATAAAATTTTCTCAATTCTGGAATTTCTTTCCGTATTTATACTTAAAATTAATTCCGCCAAGATTTTCTATAAATAACAGGCACTTCTTGAATAAAAACACAAGTTCAGAGCAGGTTTAAAGGTAATAAATATTTTAATAAAATTCCATAAATTTCCGCCAAACCTCTTGTTTATAAAATTAATTATAGAAAAATACTACAAAATAATAAATAATACTGGTAATAATAACTCTCTTCTGCATTGTGTCTATACGTCATTATGTTCTGTAGCACAAAGCAATTCAAAACGCCGATAGCAAAGCCCCAGACAAAAGGAGCATTATTGCAAAAATTTCCTGGAATATTTTGAACAAGTTGCGCTACTGGAAGTTTTTTTCCCTACGTAATAAATCCCTAGCCAATATTCGTTTTTGCAAGTCTAGACGAAAGTCTTTATAAAAATAGAGCAATGCAATAAAAAAAATCAATTAATAAAGTGATCCGCCGCCCAGACTGCATGAGCACCTCTCTAATTGCCACATTTAAAAATACTGTATCGTTAAACTGTTTATATTTATTTGTAAAGATGGTCCAGAGTTGCTATTTCCAGCACATTTAATTTCAAACTCACGTAGGCGCCTTTACAATTACAAAACGCTATAATTCACTGTTTATTCTGACACGCATTAAGGCGTATTACATTAATTAAAAGAGCGTGTGCTGAAAATACAAATTTTACAGCTTCATTTTCCGGCTCGTGCGTGTGCCGACACATGGAGCGATTTAAGCAGTTAATTTTAGTGGTGCGTTGAGACTAAGACTAATTTCCACAATTTGCTGCCAACTTTGAGGTGCGGCGGCCCACGCGTTCATCCAATTAGTGGTGTATTTTCCGGATGCCAAATCTCTTCTCCAAAAGTTAATTAGCCTCGATTTGTGTCGTAAGTGCGCGCCATTAAAATGTCTTACGCATTCAGGGGTATAAGTTTGGAGTGTTTGCTTCTAGTTAATATTTTGTGAGCAAAAGAGAAGCACAGCAAGATGGTAAACTTACCGTAATTATATTTGTCCAGTCGTGCTTTTATATAATTGGACTAAAATCTGCGCAAAATAAGTAAAGCAGATTTATTTGATTTAACAAGGTGAGAAATTTATATTTTGGTAATTTTACTAATTTAAATAAATGTTCTTAAAGCTGTTATAACGGTGAGAAATCAATTAAATTTGAGACGAATTTCCTGTGGCTCATATTCATAATAAATGGACTAAATTGCAACTAAATTGCCTTCTGATACAATCAATAAAGACACTTTGCAACTAAAGAGTGAATCAAAATTCAGCGATACGAGAAATTGATTAAGAGCCAAATGTACAGTATTTATAATTTAAAATATTTAGATGCATATAAAATTAAAGTCTTCATAAATCGTTTTATTTTGAAAACTCTATCAAGTCAAATTTTCAACTTGGAACTTTCATTAAAAATTTAGCATCAGATTCACAATTTTTTCCATATATATATAATTAGGTTAACAAATGTTTCCTTTAGTTGAAACCTAATTTCATTTTCAATGTGAAAAAAATATGACGACTCTCTACTTCAATTCTGTTAATTCAGCTACATAGCAATTTTCTGTGAATAATCCAAATGTGGAGCAAATGTAGCAGAATTTTCATGATTAATATTTAAAAAGGTAATCAATCACTTCGCAGAATTCTTCATCCAATGAAATGCACAGTAATTTAGTTTAAGCTTTTGATATTACGCATAAGCTTTTTTAAACGAATGAAGCATTACAAAATCAGAGCTTTTCACGAGGGACTTTTTTTCCAACCTTGAACTTTGATAAATATGAAAAATTTCGCTACGCCTACATTAGCAAAAATGGAACTGCCTGGACTAGAACGTGGAGCCGTAATGAGTCACTTTGTATGTAGTCAGAAACAGGGTCCACTTTCGCAATCGGCGACCATATGACTTTTTGCGCACCGATTATACGAATGCGCTGGTTCTGGCAAAAGGGACAATCTTGCGTCACACACGTTCGCTCAAAAGCCGTGCAAAAACCAAGAGAGAATGTACAATATAATGTTGTTGACAAGAAGCAACGCATGGACAAAAACACAACCTGACGAAAACTTTCAATTAAGATGCAGCTCAAACGTTTAAGTTGCTTCTTGAAAAAACTGGAATCACTGCCACACCAAAAAAAAAATTAAAAAAAAAAAATAAAAGCTTTTACAATTTTTAATAATAATTAGAATTAATTTATTTTATCAAACATATTTTAATTCTTGAGATTTATTTGTTTACTAAATTTATATTAATTTCAGTTCATAGAAATTCAATATAAATTTTATTTTGGACGCAGATATTTTTTTGTTAAATTTCTGTGACATACTTGACAGTGCAAATGCCGAAATAAATTTAATTTAAATCATAAAATTTAGCATTTTCAAATTGTCAAGAATAGAGGCATAAAACATCACGAAGAATCTTTAATTCTGTATTACTATAATATGTCGCTATATATCTTTTTAGCAATTCAGAAACCCCTTAAAATCAATTAAAATTTGCATAATTATGTTATATATAGTACTCTTAAATGTTGAAAATTACATTTTTATATTGAAATTAATTATCATTAAAATGAAAAAAAAAAATATATTATTTCATTATATCTGGCAGAAATTGGCTTTGTCTGTAAAGAAACGATTTGTACTCAAATTGCTTTTTGTCAACAACATATTATATAAATACATAATACTTTTGAACATTTATTTTGCGGAGCCAGCGAGCCTCACCTCTTTTGCATTGGCGAACGCAGGCGGGCACAAAAGCAAGCAAGGTAAGGCAAGGCCATATTACTGCACACGTATCTCTCCTCTCCCAACCCACCGACCGGCCAATCTTCAATATAAATACACACACATACTTACATTCGAGTGAGCGAGCGGGCACACATGCGAGAGAGTGAGTATTTTTACCTTTGAGCATGCAGCCAGCAGATCAGGTTAGCGGCAGGTTTTCTTTATTACATAAGCCAGTTTAGCTAGCATTCCAAGGGGAATACCTCAGCAGCTCAAATCCCCTCTCTTCGCAACTCGCTGCATTGATCAAAGGGTCACACAACTGACAATTCATATCTGCCACATAGAGGCACATAATGCGTTTTTATAATCAATTAATTTGCAAAAAACCAAATCAAGACTTCAAAATGTTTTGGTGCTTCTGGAACTAAGTCATTCAATGGGTTATTTAAAAAATTAATCTTAAAGGGTTATAAATCAAGCTTGCTTTTAAGTAGAGATAATAATTAAATTTAATAATTCATACTTTTAAAAATCTTTTAATATTATGTTAAGTTAACCATATATGTTGCTAAAATAGATTCATTGAATACTTAAAAAATAAATTACAAAATTTTTGTTTTTAAATTTTTAAATAAATTTTGTTTTCTTATTTTATTTTATGAATGTGGTTCAATTTAGTTGATTCAAAAAGAAATATAAGCAATGATCTTTTTTATTTGTTTTATTATTAATTGTTTTAAATATTAAGTAGCAATTTCGTGAACTATTTCATACAATTTATATTATGATTTTCTGTCATTTGTTAAAATTAATTATTAATAAATTATCCGTTCCCTGCTCAATGAAATATTTGCAATATTTTAAATACATTAAGGATTAACTCAAATTCGTTTAAATAATCAATTGTTTAAAAAATAAATTCAATGTGATGATTAAAAAAAAATGCCGAAGATCTGACAGCAAAGATTTAATTGAAGTTTGTTTTTCAGCTCAGAGAGGTTCGGCTAAGAAATTATTATTAAAATGAGACTTTTTTTAACGAATCAATCATCTAATTGTTGCCTGTAGTATTTCAGCAGAAATTTTTGCTCATTTTAATTTGGATTAAACTTTTAACGCTAAAGGCATAAATACTTACAAAAAGCTTACAGTGAATTTCAATTTCGTTGGCTGAATTTTCTTCTTCCTTTTTTCTAGGACAAACAAGTACCTGCAAAAATCGTCCGTGACGCGCATCTGTGCCGTCGGCGGCTTCTTTGTCTCCATTCCAGTCTTTCTGACAGGTGAGAAAAATTGGGAGCCACAAGATGACAAAACGTGTGCTGAGCCGCAATCCTTTGTTTCAGGGATCATCCTGTACACGTTCATCCAGTTCCACTCCACCCCCGCCATTATCACGAGCATCTTCATAGGACTGGGTATCATTTTCTGTGGCTGTGCGATGGTTCACAACGTCTTTGTCTGGCAGAGAGTGAGTATTTCCATCTGTCTCGCTCCCTGGAGGTTATGCAGCCTGTTGCACGCGCGAGTTGGGCGCATCGCATAACTTTCGTTTCTAAAATTTACTCGCATTTGGTGCTGATTGCCAGGAAAGGCCCAGGTGCACAAATAACTTAATGGCTCTGTTCCAAAAGTTTTACGAGTGTGTCGTCGCTCTCAAAAAGGAAATTATCATTTGGCCCACTCCACTATAATTGATTTTACCCATCAAGCCTAAAGCCGACAAATTTCCTAAAAACCTTTTCTTAAGAACGGGCCTCTGATGTATAAAAAATGGCGCGATTAATTTTTATGTTTATTTTTCTATACATTATAATCGGTTTTTATTTGTAATTTCCAAAGATACATAATAATAAAAATTAAATACATTGGAAAAGAGCTGTTTTTTTTAGACTATTTGTTTGTCTATGGGAAGTTTCCAAAAATAATTTTTCAAAAGATTTGCCCCACTTGCAGTAAAAAAATCATAAAAACGACGTCATCAAAATTTGCATTCACCTTGCAAAACGGTTCTGTAAACATTGTTCTCAGTGTAAAATATCAGAAGCTCCTTGTTAAAATAATTCATTTTCCCAATTTGAGAAAAGTTTTTTTTAAATTTTTTTCTTTCTGTTGTTCTATTTTTCTCTCTTGCTTTGTTGAAGGAAAAAACAAACGCGGTGAAAGCTCTGGCTCAGCAGCAGCGGCAATTGTCCGTGTCCACGTCCGAAACGACCTCCGGCGGCGACAGCAGGGGTCTGCACCTGTCCTTGCGCCAGGACACACCCGTGATCCCCGGCTCGCCCAATTCGATGCCCGCAGCGACCCTCGACCTCAGTGCACTTGTTCTAAACCCGCACGAACTCTCCACGCTGGTTTGAAAAACAAGTGAATTATTGTGGCCGGACCAAAAATAAAATGCAATTCGTCAGTGCTTATTTTTATAATTAACTTATTATCGACGGACCAAAAGTGAAAAGTGTGTGTGTAAAATATCTTGTTTTTTCTTGCACCAAAAAAGCAGCCGATATTCTTACCTGTTGTTGTCTTTTTATATGAGCGTATTTTCTTGTTTATCACAAGTGAAAGGTGTAAGTCTCGATTGTAACGAGACTTTGTGTATTTTCCAACTTTCGTTCATTTTTATAATGGAGTTTAATTTATACTGAGAAACGAGTTGGTCAATATTTGCAATAAAAAGGAACTTGGCAATCTTGATTTTTCCTGAAGCTGCTGTGTTTTGAATCATTTCCACCCGAAGGAAATTGAATTGCTATCCATAATAATAATAGCAGCAGCGAATTAGAGTAAATTGGGCTAAAGTAGAATTCGCCCTTGTTGTGATGTCAACCAGAAATTTGTCTTATATTACATCGAAGTCCAATATCTGCTCCTCATTTTGAACATTGGACAAAAGAGACCAAGTCTAATATCCTTTACCCTCGGGACGTAACCACCATAGGTGTATAGTGAGCTTCGCGAAGCAACTCTCCTGTAACTGATTCGATTTTCAGCATCATTATTTCTCACTGACAATATAAAGCAATTTGACGGCCTCTTCCAAGCATCGCATTGATCCACAGGAAGAAAACTTATAAAATGTTTCATTTTATAATTTTTCTTTCATCTTGAATTGAATTAGCGAATAATTAGAGTCGCCAGGTATAAATTAACTATGTGTTGCTTGTTTTCAATTTATCTTGTTTGTCTGACATTGGAACAGTTCTGCTTAATTAAAAGCGCAATGGAGAGGGCGTAATGAGCGCGTGTTTGTTTTCTTATTCAACGCTGCTCAAGTTTCCGCCTCTACCCTCCTGCTACCCTCAGTCCGTTGCACAGCTTTGATTTCATCCATTCAACGACCTGTCATTGATTAATTTTCAAATTCTACGAACGATAGAATGGTAATATGACCACAGATTATGCATCCCATTACAACGGATAATTTGCAATTTGCATTAGCAGCTGTGCTCATCAGCTAGAGGTAATATTCATCAATGGCGCTTTTTTAATAAACAGGAAGCACGGGCCTTGACAAGGGGCCTCGGTGGCCTTCCATTTTTGCTGAATTTCCCATATTGCCTAGTTTACATGGGCCCAAAGTAACCATTTTTAAGTTGCAAAGTGTCTTTATTGATTGTATCAGAAGGCAATTACTGCCCAAGTACATCGGATATTTTAGTACGCTGGATATTTCTTGGCTGCCTTTGGTGTACAAAAAAGTTTCAAATCTCTTTGATATTCTTTTTATGTACACCCTTCTTCCTTGTCTTTTATCATTTTTAAAACCCCTTGTGTTTTATATAAATCTGAATTTCAGATGAACTTCCGTATCATCAGGAAAAAAACATTCACCCTTTTTATTTCTCTTAAAAAAGACGCTGACACGCATATCTTTGATATTTTAATTTTGCCCACGTTGTGAGCAATCGAGTGTTGCTGACAATCGCGAGGGTTCAGTTTTAATATTCATGAAGGTGCCAATCTTCAAAGGACCCAGCCCCAAACGGGCTCTGGTATATCAGTAGCTTTGTCAGATCGAAAATAATTACTTGTGGTGTATGTGCTGGCTCTGTTTTTTGAGCAAATTTCATTTTCTACCAACTGTTTGATCTGCTAGGCTTTTTATGAAACGCTCTATAAAAATTGTTTTTGCTTAATTATGTGCGCATCGACCGCTTTATGCAGAAAATGGGCTTTTAAAATTCAAAGAAGTCTACATCAGCAAGGGGAGTCGCTTAATCTTTCAACAGTCTCATTTTTAATTTAACGCATTTTTGGAAAAAATTTCAAATAAAAAAGTGAGCAACAAGCAAATTGGACTGCCAACTCCTTAAATGAGAAAATGAGAAAAGGGCAAAATCACAGGCTGTTTCATTATTCATCGGTTTTTTTTTTTTTTTTTTAATAAATGGAACTTTTTCCTCTTTTATAGAGAACTAATTTGCAGCAAAATGTCGTATGGAAGTAATTTTATTAAATAACAGATTAATTTCAAGATTTTAGCAGTGTATATATCATGTGCATCCCTTCTCAGCTTGTTTCTACAAACTACAACCAAAGACACTGATGCTTTCTTCAGATGCTTTGAGCAATATTACTGCGACGCAACGAAGGAATTAAATAAATAATAGTCAATGTAGTGTACACATTTTGTGTGACGTTCTTAAAATTTAACATTATTTAAAAGATGCAAGATTTAATTTCTAGAATTAAAAACATAATTTAACTCAAGACATTATTTTATTTGGTTAATATACCATGCAATTATAGGCATTTGATGAGCACCTTCATGGGGCCAAGTTTTTAGAAGAAAAAAAAGAATTAAATACATGAGGTAGGATGTTTGACAGACACCCACTTTACCAAGTAATTTGCGTCCACATTTTATCACTCAGTCATATACTTAGTGATGTATGCTTTGAATGAATTTGCCCATGTTTAAACGCGATATTTTCCAATCATTTCTCGTTCAAAAGGAAGAAGAAAAATCATCGTTTTTTTTATCGCGGCAGTAACGCCTCTTCCAAGGCGTCGCGCAAATTGAATCGAACACCATGAGCAAATTTGTAAACGGGATAAACGATAGGGAATGATTTGAACGTACTTCGGGGCGGATCGTATTTACATGGAGGTGGAAGGAGACGGAAATACAAGAAGAAATGTGAATTCAAGTGAAGCCGTAAATTATTTGGCTGGAAATTTCTTGCATTCAGTAAATTCAATATAAGATCCATCATGCCAAACTTCCTCTGGGATTGTCACTTATTCTACAGGTTTTTCAGGGGGAAAATGCAAAAGGGAGATAAAATTTAAAGATCCAAACGAGAAAAAAATTAAGTGTATCAAATGAAAATAAAAATGTAAATTGTAAATGAGCAGAGTCTTTGAAAATATTATCATGATTATCATGAAATATAAAAACGCATTTTAAATTTTTAAGAACTGCTCAACTAGTTTTTTTGTGGGTAATTTTAATTTAAATAAAATTATAATTTTTTTAATTGCTTATTGAGAATTTTTAATTTTTGGCAATAAGTTTATATAATAATTTAAATAAGAATTGTATAAAAATACCCCCTAATAAGAATAAATGAGAGTTGCTACTAATTTTTTTTGCGTTTATAAGCCAGCTAGCTATTTGGTGCACGTGATCGTCTGATCGTCGCTCAAAAAATCTAAAAATAAAATTTTCAACTTCGCTTTATGAGTTTTTTTATGTATCATAAACAGTTTTCCTTGTTGCGTTTTTGTTAGGTTAAAATCAATATCAAGTTCATCAATCATAAACTGCTCTTACAATCACTAAACACGGAAAAGCAGTTTTTAATTTAAATTTCACAAAACAATCGTGAATGTGAAAATAGGGTGGCGAAATTCAGTCAAAAATTTCAATAAGTTCAAAAATAAAAGTCATCAAAATTGCAAAAAAAAAAACATTTTAAATAAGTGAATATTTCAATATTAAAAGATTAAGTAAAAAATTTTGAATGATTATTTTATAGTTGGTAGTAAATCTTATGAATCTTGAACGAGTCATTCTGTAGGTAATGCTATAAAATACATACATTTATCATGAAATTTCTTCTATTTTTTTGTATATTTAATGTTTATAATAATATTAATAAATATAATATAATTCTTTTAATTATGCTTGTTGGAAGCGGTTGGAAGCTCATGCTTTTGCTAATAATTAAGACTAAAATATTTATGCCGTCCCCATCATGTAATGGAGGAATTTAATTCTGCGACAGGTTTATTTATTGCAGATTAATTAATTAGAATTTGCATTTAGATTTAATAATTTTTTATGGAATTAAAAAACGATTACTCAGCCTCCCACACGCAGGAGACCTTTTTTCGAGTGCCGAACTGACCTTTGAAAAAGGACCGCAAAACACAAGGGATCATAACGTATACAAGGCTAAAAATAAAACGCAAATACGAGCCGTTAATTGCTGCCGTTGCCTGCTTCTTCCGCTTCAAGAGAAGAGCCGGCTGGAGCACGGGGATGCTTCCCCGCCTCAACATTCGCTCGCAGTCACCCCTGATGAAAATGACTCATTATCGCGTGGCCTCGCCACATATGCGACCTATATTTGCACTCAGGTGCAGGACCCGCATATATGAACTCTTGGGGATCTTTGTGCTCATTAAGAACTAATTATAAAAACATTTTTAATTTATAATTACGTGTCGTTTTGACCGTGGCAAGAATAAAAAAAAATTGTACGTGTATGAAGTAAAACTGAAAAGAAAAATGCATTCGAAAAGTTATGACGTGCACGTGTGGACAATTTTTATGAAATATTATAATGATGAACAGTTTTATTTTTTATATATTTTCCCGTGTTTCCATGAAAAGTACAGTGGAGGAAGTAAGGAAAGAATGTTGCTTTGCTTTATAATTAATTCAAAGAAAACTGATAATTGCGCAGTGGGTGGTGTATAGTGAAAGAGCGCTTCTTTGAACATACGTTAATGAGCTATTATATTTCACTTAATTATCACTACTTGCTATCATAAAACCGGAATAGTAATTGGAGGAATGCAGCAATATTGACATTAGTTATTTATATAAAATATTTTATTTACAATGACTTACAATGGCGAGTTTTTTAATGACGTGAAATTCATTTCAATTCCAGCAAGATATTACAATTAATCCTGAATGAAGAAGCAAATATTGATTAATAGTTGGTTCGTTACACTTGATTTTTTTCGTCTACTTATTCTACAGAAAATTTGAATGTGAATGTTTCCGTTAATCAATTTTTCTACTTTTGCCTAAAAATAATGTTCACACGACGATTTAGATTCGATTTGAAAAGATTAAAAAATTCTACCGTTCATTTATTGTCCAGTTTTGTGGGTGACGATACTGACGATAATTTTTCTCTCATTATCAATTGAATTCTTCTTTCTAAAAGATGGATACATCTTGAATAAATTATATATTTTAAGCACTTTGCGTATTAGCATGTTAAGTTATAATATATGTTAGATTTTGAGATGGCTCATTAATAATGATATCTTCTGCAAATGTATTGCTCCACTTCAAACCAAAGTGATATTTAATTCAAAGCAATTCAAGCAAGCGTAGCGCCACGTCACCATTAGGTAATTAATGCAGCACTTCTGTGTTGAAAGTTGGAGAACATTATAAACGCATGATGGCAACGTTTGCCAGAGAGAAATTGATGCACAAATTTTGCCGAAGCTTTGCTCGAGGTTTGAGGACAGTCGCTTAATTCAACGAACACTCGGAAATTAACAAACCAGCAAAGTTTCTCCAAAGCGTACTACAGGATTCTACCTCTACTCAAACATGCAGAATAATAATAGAACAGCTAACGAACGTAGGCAACTCGCAGGACTCTCGTGGCGATCAGGTTGCATAGATAGCTCTCCGCCGGTTATAATACGTGTATAAATAACAAACTATTTACGCACTAATGAAGCGCATGAAACCAATGTATGTAAACTGTGGCCACAAAAGTTAATGAAATTAGCAGAGGATATAGAGAATAATCAATATAGTACAATATAGTATTTTTCGGCAAGAATAAGTGGGAAATTTTCTTAATACAGTGCATTGAAATAGTACTTATTTTTTCCCTCACAATAACGCTTGATTTATCCTCATCTTAGGGGGAAAAATATGTACATATTTGATCACAAATATAAAACAAAATATAATAAACAGGGATAATAAAACCTACTAACGTTAGAGAAAATTTTAAAATTTTCAGACAAAAATTTCAGGCTGATTTTTGAACTCAAAAAAATGAAAGAAATCTCATATGATTGTAAAATTAAAAAAAAAATAAGAATGATTTTAGAGATTGATACTTTGGACCCCATATTATTTTATAGAATCATCTCCAAAAAGGGCCATCCATATATGCATTAAAAATCGCGATCGAAAAATTTTGGCCAAAAATTATCAATTAGAAGCCGTGAAATATCATGAAAATATTTTCAAAATATTGAACAAACCTGATTTATTTTTCTAAAAATCGGTCATTTAATTCAGTCTGGTGTGTTTTTTACTTTGCAGTTGGCATAAAATCAATTTATTTATGTGCGGAATAGACAACATTCTTTGCGACGTAGTAAGTAGTATATCAAATCAAATGAAGGAGCTCATAATTATGTTTTGAATTTTCTACTTGATCCAGCTGGCCCAACTTCGGAGCAATAAATTTTGCCCGGCAATAAAGGCAAACGAGAGGATGGATCGAGTGTTCCCATCTCAATTATCCGGCTCATTGTGTCCGCTCCCAATCGGTCCCAGGAGAGTGAGAGGGAGTGAGCGCAAATTATTCAAGTAGGTGTGCTGCGGGAATTATAAAAAATATAAGTCGGGAAACGGGCGTTTGCGTTTAAAGGGGCTGTCCGTAATCTGATAATCCTATGTTGGTGCTCATTACGCGAGTCCGAAGCAGGCAGGTGGAGCAGGAGAGGCGCAGGCTGTGCGATCGCAGGTCATGCGCAGCCCCCGCTATAAAAGCGACTGCACTCGCCGCCTGCGCCTAGTTCTCCACCAAGCATTTGCTCGTGCTGTTCCACGGGACAGCGCGAGCTTCGGCCACCAAGCTGCCGTTCTCCAGGAAGATGAACGTGCAACTCGCCAAGGCCGACTTTGATCGGCTCGGCGACCAGAATTATCAGCTACTTGTTGAGTTCTTCAAGGGACTACGCAATAACACCCGCGATTTTAAGGTGAGTGACTTAAAATGAAAAACTTTTATTTAAATTTTCAAAGTATTTAAAAGAAACTTTCCAATTAATAATTTTAAGCTGCTGAAAATAATTTTATTTAATTTAAATGATAAACAATTTAACCCCTGTATTTAATAAAAGTGATTTGAAGTACCAAATTTTGACGTCTATATTCAGTTTTTTACCTTTTCACTTTTCCGCACCAAAATACATATGTACCCTTTCATTAAATGATCTTAAAGCAAGAATTGCCAAAATGGGATATTTCTAAGAAGAAAAAGCAATTTATCCGTTTTGCATGAAGATGTACGACTGGTAATTGATTAAAAGTTTCCTGAAATGATTAGTTGTAATTGAACGAAATAATTATATTGATTTATTTATCTTTTTACTTTGCTTAGATATTTCTGCAATAGATATTTTTTTTTTTTTGCAAAAGCTTCTTACCTAAAAAAAATCACCAATACGGTGAATATAATATTACCTCCTCATGCATTATTCACAACTACACTGATACCTGTTTTGTGGGTCCCCAAAACTTTATCCTCTATTTGAAAACTTTTGACCCACCCCTCTGGACAGGTTGCTTGTTCTACGTTGCCTTTTAGAAAATAGGACAGCGCCTTTCAGTTTTCATTCACAAGTCTCTGTGCTGCTTGAAGTAGATGCTTGCTTTGTTGCCGACAAAGAAATTTTTTCACATTCAGATTGTTGCTGTGTATTGAAGATTTTCTCTTGCAAAATAATATAAACTTGGCGCCTCTTGTATGCTTTGGTATCGACAGATTATTTAAAAAAAAAAATTATTGAGAGTTCATACTCCTTTGAAAGATATGCATTCATAATAGCATGAGTCAAGTAGTTTCAAAAGGTAGCCTTTGTTACATCCTTTTTAAAAGCTTTTCCTCCTTTGTAAGCTTTCACCTAACATAAAAGATGTAATGCACATTTTAATTGGAAATTTCTGCTCCTCCATGTTTTTAAATATATTCATAATCGACTTTCATTTTTGCAAAAAATATATTTTTAAACGAAAAGAATGTGGAATTAATATTTTTTCATATTAAATCATTTATGAACTTTTTCATTAGCCATGCAACCGATCCATATTTTCCATTCAAAGCCATCTCTTTAATGGTTTACTGTCAAGAGCAGTCTATTGTTATTTTATTTTTGATATACTGCCTTAATGAAACGGGAGGAAAACATGAAAATTTGAGCTGGTGAGTGGGCGTTGAGATTAATATAATAACAATGAAAAAAATCCAAATCTATTTTGAGAATTAATTGGCTATTTTTATTTTACAAACTTTACATAAAGCCCTATAACATAAAATAAATACAAGCAAGTTGATTTTTAATTGTGTATGTTTGATAGAAAAAGGAAAAAATCAATTATGCTGGGAGAATATAATGACAGAGCAATAGAAGACCTAAAAAGTCAAGCCCTACAAATTAAATAATTACCCGTTCTGTTTGAGTGATGTAAATTAAAGGTCATGTGTCCTTTTTAAAAAGAGCAAATGTTACGCAAATACCAAGCATTTAACGTTAAAAAGCTTTCGCTGAGTAAATACAGAGAGATTTTTGAAACAAATCTAATTTTTCATTAGATGAGTCAAATGTTCGGGATCCATTTGGTCAGACTCACTTGAAATTTCTCTTTCAACTCTATGCACACAAAAAGGGCTCACTTACACCCTCGCAGTAGGGAGGAAGGCAAACACAATCCCACACACCATAATATCACTTCAGCCAGACCGATTCATCACGTTTGAGCGAGGCGTATCTCGAAGCCAACGCACAACTATTTTATTAGATGATTCAAACGAATGACCGGGAAAAAGTTTTGACAGCAAATAAATCTTCTTCTTGCAGAGTCCACATTTGCGGCTCTCCATGGAAAACATCTACCCATTGTTTGTGACACTCTACATGATGCTGACGGTCATTGGCACCCTGTCCAACGTGGTCATGATCGTGTTTCTTCTCCGCAAGAGTGTCAAGGAGCCCCTTCACGGACTCATGGTCAACTTGGCCGCCAGTGATGTGGTCAAGTGTCTCCTGGTGCTGCCGGCGTCGCTGGCGGTTCTGCTCATCCACAACTGGGTTTTCGGCTCCACATTCTGCTACCTTCTGCCAATGTTACAGGTAAGAAATTTACTTATTTAAAGAGGGCATTTGAAGGTAAAATTGACAGGAAAAAAATGAAATAAATTTAAATAAGAAAATCTTAGATTAAAACGGTCGACGTTTAGGATCATGAAAAATGGAATTTAGACTCCGCCTTCTTGAAAAAATCAATACTCACTAAGACTTTTGAGTCTTGTAATCTATATAATTTAAAATCCTTCTTTAGGTGCAGCAGATCACAGGTTGCTTCTGTTGTCTAGTTTTGTCTTTATTCGACACAACTTTGCTTGAGCTGGGGTTGAAATTTTGTCTTTATGTTTTTCAAAAATACCTATAGTATAGCAAAACAATACTATTATTGTTACTTTTAATTGGTTGTTTATTTTATTTACATATTCAAAAAATAAAAATACTCAATATGGGGTTTGACTTCTCAATAATACTATTTCATCTGACTTGGAGTTTTTACTATTTTTTTATAAACGTTTTTTTTTAATTATTTCCAATTGATAAAAATTTTCTCTAATATTTTTAAACAATCTAATTGTAAAATTGAAATATCATATTGTGATTTAAATTACACAAAAAGTAAGGAAATATGAAAAATAATTAAAATGAACTCACATTATTTGTAAATTGTAATTTAATAGAACGCTTTTCATAGCCAAATAATCCTAATTTTTCAACACCTGGATAGGGTGGTTGAAGCGCGTATTTTCCTGTGCGTGCGCGTGTAAAGAGCGTTTGTTGATCAAAGGCCAGTGTGGTGAAATTGGAAATCCCATCAATAAAGTGTGTTTGTGATAGCAAGAAATTGTTGACAGAGTTTCCAAATAATTTGACGACTTCAAAGCAAAAAGCGTGTTGACAAGACAAAACCTTTTACTTAGAATCAATAAATACCAGACAGAGCAGAGTGATTAACGATCATGCAATTTCCAATTAAGTTCGTTTTGTGGTCCAACGCCTCCAGTTTCAAATAAATAGTGTGCGCAGAGAATTCCTTTTGCATAATTATATTTTACGAAAATTTCAAACCTGCGAAATTTTGAGTAGTTATTGATGGAGGTTAGCCTTAATCAAAAGAGCTGATTTTACAATATACGTGCTTATGGTACAACCATAATTGAGTTTTAATTAAACAGCTCAGTGCTCTCTCACAGCAAGAGTGCATTACATGATAACATGCGGTTTAGCATTTCAAAAGCAAGCGAGCAATAGTTTTTAAACCCATACCATAATGCCAACCGACCCGCAGCTTTTGCCAGCTACGCATTGTCCGCTAAATTAAACTGAATCAGCAGGATTTTTTAACCGGGGTCATTAGGGTATTTCAATTAATATAGTGCTTAGACTAATTAACATTTTGACGTAATTTAGCTTTAATATGTATTGTAGTTAGCAAATAATGGATTATTTTAATAATCAATCTAAAAAAACTAGATATAAAATATTTAATTAACATATATTTTTACTGAAAAACACTAAGCATTTTTCGTTGTAAACAGAGAAGTTCTTTGAAAATAAGAAGGATATGAATTTTTTTATTTTATTTATATCCACCGTATACAAATCGTAATCTTTATGATGGCCTGGATAAACATATTATAGAAAATAATTTACGACTTTTGGGCAGATTCAAACTGATTGACGCTATGTATTTTATCCTCATGCTGATGGGTCCGTATATCTTCTTTTGTTGTCATTAGCAGTGTCAAATTTCAGAAGCGCAGATACGCCAATCTGCGTGTGCTTCCGCTCACGTTTTGCCGTTCCCAAATTAATCAGCCAATATCCATTGTGCTCAAAGGGCTGATGTGTTTGCAATGAAGAGCATCAATGATGCTGCCATCAGTGATGATGGGAACGTACTGAAATGAAAAGAGAGGCGAATCAAATATTTGCATAAAGAACTGCCGATATGCTTTCAAACGCTTAATATCTATTTGGCATAAAAGTGATTGCAAAATGATTAAATGCTAAAAAGCATGGCGCTTCATATCGACATACAACTTTTTCAATCATGGTCCAAAAATGAAATACCCTTTTGATTGCTATTATTACACGTCTCAAAGGGAATATTATTTTGAATATCATTCTTCTCCCAAAACAGCGTTTTGCAGAGATTAAAAAAAGAAAATGAAATATTTTTCGTCATTCACGTACAAAGCCATCAACCGATAAATAAAATGGTGAAAAAACTCAGCAGGTGTTGGAAAGGTGCATTATTCTGAGACTTTCCAATAATCATTTTGTCGCACTCGATAATTGCCCGAAAACTGCGGTTGGTGGAAACTTTTTGCCACCCAAAGGACGCTTATCTCGTAGCAGCTGTATACTCTCATCTCATAGAAAAAACCCATCAAGATCAACAGCTGCTGCTTTCTGCCTGCTTTTTTTAAAGGACAAAGTGTGGAGGAAAATTGGCAAAACTTTGCGGTTGTTTACAAGATGACAAAAAGTTTTTCCTCACCCTGTTCCGAAAACCATCAAAATCTCATTAAAGTGGGCCTTCCAAGCAAAAACACACAGAGAGCAACGTTTTCCTGGAAACATATTTTAAATTTGAATAACCTCAAAATGAAACGTGAACAAATTATTCAATCCTCTATTTTTTAAATGATATCGCCGTAAACGGATTGTTGCTGATGACGTGCCCGAATTCAAATATTTTGCACAAGCACATGATCGGGTTCTGCCCGAGTGGTTACCAAACTACGCATGATTTATTTGTTAGTACACAACTGGGATGGTAGAATCACCAAGAGCGGTAACACGCATTGGCAGATCAATGTGGAAAAAGTATGCAAATCACATGGGTGAGAGCAGAGTGAGAGGGGCCGCTTTTACACAAGACCAGAAAGTCAGTTTTTATTTGTCGAAAAATTGCAGAAATAACAGCTTAGCTTTCATTTCAAACTTTTTGCTTATCTCCTGATTGAAATTGACAGTTGATATTATATGCAAATGAACAGGGAAAAATTATAATGAAATGTTGGTTACAAAAAATCTGATTTGAATATAAAGTGAAAAAAACAGGGATTTTTTTTATTAAATAAAAGGGTTTTTAAAAAAAATAATTTAATGAAAATAAACAAATGACCATGTCAGTTTTGGTTACCGTCTGCCACATTGTTTCAAGAGAAAACGCAGCGCTTGAAAATTTGAATAAAAAATTATTTTTTCATGACAATGTCAGTTTTTTTATTCATCAAGTGCTAATGCTAACGTTTTCTCTAAAAAATTTATATGCAAACCAAATTATGAAAATTTACAAAAAAATTACGTTTGGTTAGTTTTGTTTAAATATGATTTTAATTTTGATCTTTTAACGCATACAATTTTAGAAAAAAATTGTAAAAATCTTGGTAAATGAGTGGCGATATTTTAAGAAACATTTAAATGATCGTGCATGCGTTAATTCTTTCTAAAAAGTATTTAAATTCATTTTATTTTTGTTAATAAAAGAAAATAAGTTTTGGTAGATTAAAGCCAGAATTTTCCACTTCCTGCTTTGTCCATCATCAAAATTTAAAAATAAAAATGCAGCATATCATTATAAGTCAGAAGTGTCATAACTAAGTAAGATACTTCCAAAATAATGAAAAAAAAAAAACGCAAAAAAGGCAAAAAAAAAAGCTAAACAGCTTCTTATTTAAATTTTTGTAAACAAACAACGATTTTTCGCAAACAACATGCGTGCGCCTTTGCATAAATTTGCTGCGCACCCCTTGATTTTTTTGCAGCTTCTGAGTCACGCAGCGCCATGCTTGAAATTTGAGGGTCGAAACCGGAATTTTGACATGGTGTGCGTTGCTTGCCCGAGATCGATTTTCAGCTCCGCTTGCACGAGTGACGAGAGTAAAAGTCACTCCGCAGACATTTTCATTCAAAATTAAACCCTCTGATTTGGATGAATGACCACGCGAGGCGCTGAATTTTTGCTGCCAGCGGAAGGTGACATGTTGAATTATTCGCACTTTGCGTGCGACGCAAACAATGAAGGAAGGACAAGCGCTAGGCCCATTCGGCTGAAACAATTGTCCTGCGTGCGTCAAAGAAGATTTCGGCACAATGTGCACACCTTGTGTGTGTGTGTGTCTCTCTCTCTCTCAAAAAGAAAAAGCACACAATAGGCATTAACTCGTCAGCAATGACACATATATACATTGGAGCGCAGAAAAATCCTCTTTACAATGGGTGACATGCGAGTGGGCGCCGAGAGCGCGCACAATGAAACTGGAAATGCCGAGGACTTTCGTGCTCTCTCGCGACCAATTGAGCGGCTTGCGGAATTTATTGCCGCTCTCGATCATCATCTTTTCCTCTTCACTACATACCTGCACAGCCCCAGCTACTATGAGACAGTTATTAAATTGCAGCAACGATGGAAGTGAGCACCGCTTTGATGTCACCAAGTTAGAAGTAATTTCACATATTTATATAACCTCTTATGTTTCAAGCTCTATATTATGAACGGACAAAGCTGAGCTTTGACTTTTCTAACTTTTGATTTCAAATTAGCTGCTATTGGAACACTAACACACTCAAATCACATAAAATTTTATAATTTTTAGATAAATTAGTTTTTGTTACGCTAATGTAAACTATCACTTTTCTATAGAACAAAATATAATTATAAAAAAATATGAAAGTTCCGATTCAAAGGCAATTTCGAAGCGTTTTAGTGTGGCTGAATGAGGTTCCCTCAACAATTTGAGTTCTAAAACTTGATGACTGAGCGAGGGCTTTACTCAATATTAAGGGACATGAAAAAAAAAAAACAATAAAAAAGTTGCAAAAACTAACTTAGATTATTTTTTCTCGCCTTAAAAATCAATAAAAGCCAAGAAACAAAAAAATTAATGCCACGATTTTTATTTTTTCTTTCAAAAAATACACACCATGTCAAGATTTAGAATTCAGAAGTCAATTCCCTAAAGGCGTAAATATGTACATACATGGAAGCTAAAATAGAATTGCAGAATATCCTTTGGAAATACATGTATGTGCGCATCCAAATGTAATCGGATTTTCCGAGTTTGCCTTTTAAAGCGCAGCAGAATTGCGACGCGGAAATCCTTTCACCCACGACAAACAGTGCTTCTATCTGCCTCTTTCTGGACCCTTTTTTAAGGCAAGCTAGGCTGACGGCAGCTCATCTGTAAACAATCCACTGTGGGAAATATCTTTGCCGAAAGACCATACGCACTCCTTTCTTTGCTCGCCTACGCAGTGCAAATCAATGGTGGCGCATTTCACCGCCGGCAAAAACTATTTTCGCTTCTGATAACAAACCGCAAGTGGCGTTTCCTTCTCAGTTTCTAAAAAGATTGTTTGAATGGGCAAAAATTATGACGGGCAAAGAACGGAAAAATACGCTCTGGATTTGCAGCCCAGATTGACATTCGTGTTCCGTCTCGTCAACGTTTCGATAAAGATACTTATTTCCTTGGTAGTTCAAAGTTGCTCTAGCAAAATGAAATGGTCTTTTAGCAAATTCTTTTTTTATGGAGCCAGCGCAGACAATGTATCTCATCGACCTGTGCCCCTTTTTTGAGATTGCAGAAGGCTAGCCCTAATCTTATATATCTTGTTTTTTTTCTTTTAAATTTGTTCTCACGAATTAAATACTGCGGAGATATTTTCTAGAAAAATTTTCATTAAAAGGTTCAAGGACATTATTACGAAGTATTCTTTTACATTATTCATGGTTTAAATACTTTAAATTTTTATCATAACAAATTATGTTTTTGTTACCAGAATGAAAATTGTTAATGACAAAAATGATGCGATCATAGTTCCTACATAATGAATATTATTGTCGTGTATACCCTCCTATGTTTGATGGTTATTGATTGTTTTTCCCCTATTTTATAAGCTCGAGTGGGATTATACATGCAGGTTGTTGATTGTTTATTTGTCACGAATTAATTTGCTGGAACTAAACAGGCTTGCGGTGAATTGACGAGGAAAATTAGTTCATTTTTTGTCATAATTTACTTCGAAAATTGAAAATCTATCATAAACCAATTTCATATAAGCATTTCGGTCCGTCGTGTTTTTGCCGCAACCCAACCGGAATATATAGTATAGAAAATGTACTGACGGGCTGTTGATTAGCGCCTAAAATTATGGTTCAATACAAATTTCAAATATACACATTTATTTAGGGTGGTATGAAATTTCACTTTGAATTTCATATCTCGCATTTGAAAGTTGGAAACATAATTATTGAATATAAAAATGGCAAATATGAAAAAGAAGAAACCGTTCAAAATATTTTGTTGTCTACTATATTTTATTACCATGAAAGTATTTCCATGCAAAAAAATCAAACAGAAGGCAAAACGCAAAATTCTGTTGAACATACGGTTCGCAGGAGTTTAAAAAGGAGAAAAGCCTTCTGACAAGCTTTTTGTTTTGACATTTTTATTCTTGTTTGTGCTCTTTTTACAACTAAAGCCGAGCGGACGCTCACTTGATCCACACTATGACAAGCAGAAATTTCCGAGCTTTATTTTCCACTCTGTTGGACTGCTCTGCCGCCGAGCAAAATAATTAAAACGCGTGTGGGAAGCTTTTAATGCGGACTGAGAGGAATTTTGTAGGTGGTAAAAGTTTAATTCCGTAATTTGCGTATTTCCGTTAGATTAAATGAGCACATACGAGCAAGTTGGTGAGATAAAACAATTAAAACGAAAGGAAACGAGTGGCTGTGGAAGAATCTTAATTTTGGTTGCTTTTGTAAAATGTTTGATAGTGAGACTGCGCCGTTTCTATCTGCTCAAAACAAATCTTCAGTGAAGTATGCTGGTTTTTAAATGGGAAATATAAATCAAGATTTATAAAAAATATTAAAAATTATTAGAAATCCGCTCTCTAAACTTTTATTTCCAAAATTTATTTTATTGAGAGCGGCGAAATGAGAACGTAAAATTAAGAGGGTAAAAAAATACAGATCCTTGTAATTTTCATTTTTCCAAAACACTTTTGAAACTCATCGCTTTAAATTTTTTAATTTCCATTTAATTTATGAAAGATCTATTAAAACATGAACATTCCTTATAAATTTGAAACATATTCAATACAAAATTTTCGTGTTGTTGCTTTTGAAGAATTTTCATTTCTGTTTCTATCTCAAGAAATTCACGAAACCTATATCTTTGCAGCGCAATCAAAATTAAGAACGCGTCGGGAATCACGACGCTGCTGTCCTTTGAGCTCTTGCGACGTGCTCGTGCGCTTGAATAATACTTTCCATTAATCCGAGCAGTGCGCGGGTTGCGTAAAAATCGATTCCTCTTGCAATTAAACACTCCTCTGAAATGAAACGACGAAAGGCGGAAGCGAAATTTGGTAGCTCGAAAGATGCGTGTAATATGAAATGCTGCCGCCCGCTGCTCTCCACCCACATCCCTCGCAGGGGGACAGAGAGAGGATCCCCTTAACGTTGTGCGATAAATTCCAAAAACCACACAATATGTTTCGGACGGGTAGAGAGGAAACAAAAACAGGAACTCAAAGGCTCTTAATTATGAATAACATTTTGGCCCATTTATCAACAATACATACAGCAACTAGCAAGGAAGTGCCAGTTCAAGCACATGATATGATAAAATAATAATGTATAATATTGTCTATGCTGCAGTAATTGCCTCTCTCTCCTCTATGATATTTCAATAAACATAATTAGCTACATATTATGGACATGAAATTCAGTTGAGTTTATTACCTTGTGTTAATGGAGGCAATAAATTTGGTTCCAATTATTACAAACATATTGCACAAAGATATGCAAAATCAAGTGTTTTGACATGATTACATTGATTGAAGGTTGTACTTATTTTTAAATTTTATAAAACCCCTAGGAAATGTTTTGAAACCTCATTAATAAGCAAAATGATTACATTAAAAAATATGTATATCTCAAAACTTTATATTCTTCGTAATACATCAAATAAGTATAAAAAACGTTTAACAAGAGCGACAAGAGCGGGCTAAACTATAAAAAGATCTTTCAAAAAAGCATTCAAAACACTTTATAGCCTTCAGCAAATCATTTAACGACCTCATATTGGCATAATCATATTGTAAAAATCGGGGTTGCTGGTTTTGTTCAGATCCAATTTGAGAGTTCTGCTTATCCAAACCAAAGCTTTAAAAATAGTTCTTAAACTCAGAAAACATGCACAAAAATGTAGCATTATAATATTTAGTCATTGCAACAATAGGGAGCTATTTTAGGCAATTATTGAATAATATCAGAATAATATAATTGGAAATTCTATAACCTCCCTTGCTGTTAGCTTGTAATGATTTTATTTGAAAACATTATAATGCAATGTCAAAAAGAATAGTACTTAATATTAAAACTGTCAACATTTATTTTATCCTCATTTTGTGATTTTTTTTCTCATTGCAAGCGTTGCGTAAATCGTAAATTTAAGCGTTCCAAGAAGGAATTTTTTATTGTAGTTGGGCTTCTCGGAATAAAATCACCTACCCCGGTCCTCAAATTAAATTATTGATTAAATGTTGAAGGGCTTCAGTTATAAAACACGCACTTGGAAACCTTTGTTTCATTAGAATGGGGCGTTAACAGTTCCTAATTGAAATTTTTTAAGAAATTTCTCATAAGTAAGGAAATAAAATACGGAAAAGGCTTAAAAATTTTACTCACATTACTCATATACCTAAGAATATTGATTAAAAACATTTGTATGTATGTAACAACTAGAAGAAACGTGTGAAAAGAATAATTGAATTTTTATATCTCTTTTGAAGCACTTTTTAGGTTCCGCAGGAAATTTAAAATACAGAACGAGCAACTTAAACTGTCATGTTCTCTCAACAAATTAAGAATGAAACAAAAATTAGTTACCCAATCAACATATTCAGTTTGTACTTAAAAAACTTGATAAACTTAGCATTGAACTTGCCAAGCGCAAATAATTAATGCTGTTTTTAGTCCAAATTTTTACAATGTTTTTATAAAAAAAACTATTAAAACTTTTGAAACAATAATTTTTCGCATAGAATAATTAAAAGACTGGTTATATTAACCATTTACCAAATTGATTTCACGTGTAGTTTTCCTTGTTTCTTAAGCCTATCAATTCATCTGCCCACCATAAAATGTTCTAAAATAGCTCAGACAGTTTTAATCCGATTTTGCAAAATCAGTTTACTGACATTTACCAGCAACACCGAAACACCTAAATTTAGGTTGTTTCAACCACATACACTTGAATTGTTAGACCATTTGACGGGGCTCTAGTAATTGCCTAAACAGGCTATTTTGGTCCCTAACATCTGCCGCGAAAATAGCGAGAACCGTTCCAATGCTTGCCCTTTCGCAATTGCAATCGATTTCACGCTCACGTGTCTTCTATAATTTGCAGGACATGCCGCTTCACGTGACCACGCTCACGTTGGTGATGATCGCCGTGGACCGGCACCGCAAAATCCTCCATCCGATGCGATCTCGCTTCTCAAGCATAACCTGTTGTCTGGCGATCTGGTTTGGCGCCCTGCTCGTCGTCATGCCCTACCCTATTTACACCACATATCTCGACCTAGGGGTAAGTTTTCATTGATAAAGGCTCATACTAACACGAAATTTCTCTAGAATGATTATAAATGGGTTTCGCGTTTCATATTTCATTTCAATTTACATAGTTCGAGAGGGCCTGCGTTTTATTTTGAAATTTAAATTAGGAAACAGATTTCAAAAAAATTAAAAATTTTCATGGTGTGTAATAATTCTTCTTTACAAAAATTAATTTTCTTGTTATTACTCATAAACGTTTTTAATGTGAATAATTAGGCAAAATCAAGGAATTATGTGAGAGATGTATAATTTATATAATTTATATGTATTTTACTTTCAATACATAGTCGTGTTTCATTTCACTGAACCATTAGTAAAGTGATAATGAAAAAGAAAAAAATACTCCATTAATTTTCATGAAGTCTTGATTTAAAATTTAAATTTTCTTTCATGTTGAAAAAAATACATTATGAAAACTGCTTTTCCACATTTATTTTTTATTTTTTATTCAAGCTATTAAAGTTTAACTGAAAATCTCATTTATAGATCCATGTTGGCTTACAAATAAAAGGTCATTAAAAGTTTTCGAAAAACGACTTAAGCAAATTTATTTCATTTAATTAAGTTGATCTTGTAGCGCTAAGCAATGTTGCAAGGGATTATTTTGGGTTAGATCCAGAAACACTTGTGCCGTCCTTTGTAACATCATTAACGGTACACTATGGCACCGCTTTATTTGATCGTTTCTTCAATTAAGGCATTAGGAAAATTAAATTTTGAATTAATATGATTTCATATAGTCATTGATGTAAAAAAAAAAAATTAACATAGTTGGGCAGAGCGCGCTCTCCGCTCTGCACTATGCGCTCTGAGCGCGATCGCACGATTTTCAAAATCATGAGCGAGAGCGCAGAGAGCGAGCGCATTAGTCGCTGAACGCAGCGCTCATTTGCGCTCATTTCGCGCTCAAACCTTTAGCAAAATTCCCAAATTTGATCAAAAATTCTAACGAAAAACAGTGATTTTATACCAAAAATCTTCAAAACTGGTCCCAATTTTGGTAATTTTACTTCAACTTTATCATTTTAATTGCCGATGGTTTGTTTTATATTAAAAAATGTTCTAAAAAGTCGCACTTTTTCCTCGGATAAAATTATTTTTGAGCGCCAAGCGTGAGTTTTTAAAAATTTGAGTGCGAGCGCAACATTTTCAAAAAGTTGAGCGCGAGCGCAGAGCGCGAGTGCACTGTTGCCAGTGAGCGCGAGCGCAAAATTGTTGAGCGCACCCATCTATGTAAATAAATTATAATTTCTCTTTGAAAGATATTCTCACTGCTTTGGTCTGAACAAATTAAATTTATTTTGATATAGTAGAGAAATTATAGCATTAACAAGAGAAAGTCTGATTGTCATGTCAATTCCTTATTCCTTATTATTCTTATTATCAAGGCAGCATTCATTTCACTAGGTACCAGTAGCTAGGTACCTATCTTGAATATATTTGCTTATATTTTCTGGTGGTATTCAAAATTTGTTTTTGCGTTGGCGTCCAATATTTGACAAGATGAGCATGCTCCTTTTTACTAATACAGGTTTCAAAAGGCTTACCATTTTACGTGTTTATTTCCAGAATGCTTTGTGGGTATCAAATGTGTATATGAGAGCTTATATTTTTCGAGTGGGTGTAGCTTTATGCTTTTCCGCGGAGACGTCAAACGCTTTTGATAGATCATTCAAGGTTTTGTATAGATTCGGAAAGAGAGCGAATGGAAGGTAATAATTGGAATAACGTACTGGTCTTTGTGTTTTTCACCGGAATCCACTCGATATCAACGAATTCCAAAGGAGAACGCAAGAAAAAGATCCTTTAGTTCTCGTGGGGATGCTGCGCAACGTCAAAATGCCAAATTACTTGATAATAATTCCAAATGGAATCCGCAAGCCGGGGGAATTCATTTCAGATATGCGAGGGCCCTCGCAGCCGTCACTCATGTAGCAAAACCTATACACGACTGTTACCATGGCAAAACATCACAGCACTTTCGTAATTAAGGTGAAAATCAACTCAGGCTTATAAAGCGGGGTTTGCAGTTTCACGTTGGCCAAGTCTCGTGGGAAATCTATCTAGTGATAAATAATTTTGTTATTTCAACTCTGATGAGGATCATTCTCTCTTGGGTCCAATATCATCGGCTTATTAATTTTAAGCTATTCTGCTCACACTATTATACTGACAGTGTGCTCCGGTAAATTTAAAATCAATTTGCACAGTAAATGATTTATATTCAGCATTGCGCCACGTCAATGTAGTCAATATGTCAATAATAAAAAAATCTGGTACATACTGGTTGATTTGATTATTACAATTCTTAGTTCTCTTTAATGCAAAAAAAAATGTACCGCTCCATTGACATTATCTTTTTGTAATCATTATAACGTTTCAATTGTACAACACTAATGTACGTGGAAATGAAGAGATCGGGCTTTTCCTCGAAAAAGCCCAATCTCTTCATTTGCATTAATATCTCCTCGAGTGTCAACTTCTTCAAACTAATGTATATATGTTGTCTAAATTAATAATAGCTGGAAACCAGATGCTTTATTATTTTCTTGTATGATCTATCTAGACAAAGTTTTGAAATAATATATTTTGGAATATATTCGCTATTAATTTAACTATTCAATGATAAAATCTTTTTATGGGTTAAGTTTGGAGGTAGAGAAGGCAAAAGAATTTCTATTCTTTTAAAAGAATAACCATAGCAAATGAAAGAAATCCTTTTGAAACAAATAATTATCCAAATTATCACTACTTCTTTTTCAATTTTTATAATTCAAATTATCACTGTGAAAATTTTACAAAATTAAAATTTTATTTTTGAAATATATATAGAATCCTATACTTCAATTGAAAAGTTTGAAGTAATATCAAAGGATAATTAATTGATTTTAATAATGAAATTCCAATCATTCTCTTCCTGATTATAATCACATTACCGTAAACCGTGTATAATTATAATTAGGGATGGAATCTGGGGGTTAATTTGCCGTGTTTCGAGGGTAATAAACCAATCGATATTTCAAACTAAGCTAATTCCCACATGTCTATTTTAAGACCGGTTGACAGGGTGTGATAAGCACACGCGCCCATAAACTTCAAAGCTCTCTTACACATTAGACATCATTAGAGTTTGGGGTTTTTGGCTTTACTTGGAAACACGATATAAATTGGTTTTTGGCGGTGCTTACTCGCGTCAGCACTGTCAGCAGAAGCCAAAAATGATGGACTAACGAGGTTTTGTGACTCTGTTTCAGTTGCTGTACAAAAACGAGCGGTTCGACGGGGTCGGCATTTGCGCCGTCAATCTGGCACATGACATGCAAGAGTACACCCGAGGTCTTTTCATTGCTATGTAGGTGCTCCGGGCCGACGCTGAATTTAATCAGAATTTGCTCTTAATCCGATTTGCTGTTCGCAGGTACGTGATCCCGATGGCTATCGTCACTTTCCTCCACATCAACGTGTCGCGCGAATTGAAAACCCAGCTGGCAGCCAACCTGATGAATTCGCCGCCCATCAGAGATGTGACTCTGCCATCCAACGGGTGAGTGCACCTTAATTGTGTGGTGCAAATTGCTCGAAAAATAACCTGCCCTATATTTCTCATAAAAGGAGAGATAGGCTGCGTGATTTTTTTCATGCCTGTCAAGCTCGTCAATTTCGCTGCCCCATCTCCTCTTTCCTCACTATATATTGAATTTCGATTTCAATCTCCTTCGCTTTCTCTTACGCATCGCATCACTAGTGTTTCTTTCTCCCTTTGAAGGTTTCCAGTTTTTGCAGAAGTTTCCCGTCATATTGAAAATATTTATTTATTCACAGGCATCATTGTATAGTAGAATTTTTCATACTATTTAATGGGACTTGCCATGTCAATTCTAGGAAATGTGAAAGATATTTCAAACAAGGAATATATTTGTATAAGGATTGTAATTTTTTTTCGATGAGTGCAAAATTTTTAATGAGTATTTTTAATCCTTGTTGATATTTTCATTAAGAGTTGATTTGGAGTCGTGAGTGAACAATACGATGGAAAAATTACTTCCGCTTGCTAAAACTTCATTAACTCCTGCAATGTTTATACCCAGAGGCCAGAAATAAGTATCTTTATAAACTTTTACAGTCATGCTGCAAATATTTCAATTCCGAAGTGAATATGGTATTCTTAATTTTTAAGGTAGCCAAAATTAATGTAAATAAATACATTTTGTTTCAATTGCCAGATAAAAATATTTCTAAATTGTTCTTGAAACTTTTTTATTTTGTAATATTTCTTCATAGTTTTTAATAATATTGCTATCAATCTATTATTTCACCCAGAATATTTAATCTTGTCCCAATGCTATCACCGTTGTATGTAGTAGTCAGTGTGCCATTTCAGTTATGGAGCCACGAGATTAAACAAAGCCGGCTGCTTAAACACAGCACCCTGGTGCTCGTTTACAGTAGAAGCATAACGTCGTCTTATTCGTTAATGTGCTCAAACACAAATAGCAACGGAAAATTTTTGTAGCCTCCCTTCCTTCTTTACGCTCGTTGCATTATTAAATCAAATTTTGTTTTCTCACGTTGTCATTCCCCAAATCAATCACCCAGTCGATTTTAGATTATAAGAGTAAACATTTACTTGCCCCGCACTATGCTACCATTCTTTGCGCAGCGAGATTGAACAAAAAGCCACTTTATATGCGTGGTAGAGTATTCCACTTTTTACAAAATTTTCCAAAATATATCATTTCACTAGAATGAGAAAACCTTCAAAAATTTCTCATTGTGTTCATTGAATGAAGTTAGAATTTGTTTTTTCACTTCACCGCCAAGAAAAAATAATACAATACGGATGTTGGACCGCGCGTGTTACTCTTCAGATAATATTTTGCCTCTTTTCCTCCGAAGAAATGGAAAATGGAGAAGTTTTTTGGGAGTAAATTCTATTTTCTGGGAATTTTGCAAACTTACCTCCTTGTTACGTACTTTCCTGGGCTAAAAAATAAAGACTCTTCTTGATTTTCTCAATAACAAATATTAGAAGTGTAAAAAAGCTCTTACTTGGTGAAATATTTTTTACAGACATGGCTGCGTTGGATATCAGTGCCGCGAATGCTCGGTTCCGGCCGCTGCCGCCGCGGCTGTGGAAATCGATGTAATGACGGAGCAGAGAACGCAAAAGTACGTAGTAATGATGACGGCCGTGTTCGCCATATGCCTGTGTCCCCTCGCCGTGCTCAGGTAAGCCCAAACAACATAATCTGCCAACAATGCTTCCCTCCCTGCATCGATTTGTATCGGGAAAAGAATTCCTTTTTTATCTCTTTTTTCCTGCGTATAGAGTGCAAATTGAAATGAGCTCTAGAAAAGGTCTTTTGCAATCATTCTTTTTCATTAGAGAGAAACTTTCCAAGGCAGAGCAGGTCGTGAGTTTCATATACTTTTACCAAGAATGAAAAACACACTCAGACCTTTAAGCGGAAATACGCCCATAGAGTCGAAGGGAAGTTTTCAGTTTTTTATTTTCAAGAGATAACTCAGCAACTAGGCTTTGTGTTAGTGCATCTTGGTTTACTTCAATCTTAAATTGACGACCAAAAACGCATGACCTCCCACAATAATAGAAAATCATAAAATGCTGCACAGACTTTCCTTAATCTTCATTTATCATAACGAGTTCAAAAGCTTCCGATCCAGAAGGGAAAAAGTTATCGTTAAAAAAGATCAAAATTTTGATTAATTTATTAATTTTAGCAGAATATTTATTTTTGGCTTCTTATTCTCCGTCCAGTGTCGTCCAGTTAGGTCTTTTCAAAGTGGACTTGGAAAGAAAACCTCTTCTCATGAGAGAAGGATTCAAATTTCTCAAAAGAAATTCCGTGATTAAATTATACCTGATTCAGGCCTGTCTCCTTTGATGCCTGGGCTGTAAAAGTTTACGCGCCCACTCTGTGGCTCAAAAAATGAAAGGATTTAACTTTTGCAAATTCAAAGCAATGTGAATAGCAAGGAGGAGCGCTCTAATTAAAAAGATGATGCAAGAGCTCTCCAGCGCCAAAAACTCATCCACACTCTTGCCCCGTGTATATATACAATCTGTATTTGGAAAATTATCACATGTAGAACACGAGTGGCGCCTTTGCAAGCGGCGATGAATAATTGTGTGCTGCAGCTAATTCACTTACGTACATAATTAATAACTTGATGAACTTGCCAAGATATTTATACCAACATTCACTTAAATGAATTAAGAAAAAATGAACGGGTAGTATGAAAAATTGATAAAAAGTGGTTACATTTTGAGAAATATCGAGTTTTTCATATGTAAATTACACTATTTTTACTTTATTTATTTATGTTGGGGCACACGAATGAAAAAGTTTATTTTATAAGCTTTAAAGCATAAACGAAATGTTAAAGAATTTGAATTTACCTTAGCATTCACTTTTAATTTTTTCAACGTTAGATTCCACCTCCTACGTCTCTGACGTGTTTCATCTTCAAATAAAAAGTAATGAAACACGGGCACCGTTGTCGCTTGTTTCCGTTTTTGCTGTAAAATAATAAAATAAATCCAACATGAAGTTAATTAATTCCAAAAATTAACTCCAAAATGAAATAATGCGTTTTTTATGCCACAACATTTTTTGTTATTGACATAGGAAAAATAAACATTTTAATTTACACTATTCAGTTTCTTCTCTTAAATTTTTATCTGCCTGTGAGTTCTTTTAAATTTGCCGTAAAGCTTTAATGGTGATTTTAATTTAAAGACTTTTTCTCAATGGATGCCATGAGTTGTTTATTGTTTTAGAAAAAGCATGTATATAGCAGGATTTTATTTATTTATAAAAAACTCACAAAACCCATTGAGAAAATCACCATCAATCAACCCGCTATCGTGTAATTCTGCCATAAAAATTAATGATTGAGATTTCTAAAAAATGCGTTGGTTGGAAAAAAGGGAGATGCCGACAAAATTCAAGTTAGACTTTTATATAATTTTGCCACCTAGCTTTATTTATAAATTAAGCAAGTTAAGAGATTTAATTAACTATCATGAATAACGCTTTGTCTGTTTTTGCTTTGCTTCAGAATGATTCAACTTATTTTAATGGAGACATACGACAACACCGCTTTGTTTGACTTCACCTTCGTCGTTGTGGTTTGGATCGCCTTCCTGCCGACGTGTCTGTCACCGCTTATTTATGCATTATGGTCTTCTGGCAACAGAAACTTTGCTTGAACTTCATTTCTAATTCATTCATACATTAAAGGTAAGAGAACAGATGAAGCAAACATGATTTGCTAAACTATTAATTTTAACGTCACGACAGCAGAAATATTGTATTGGTTGGTCTTGCAAAAGGCTGGAAAGGGTGATTACCTAAATTGGCACTCATTTTGCAAAAAAAAAAAAAAAAAAACACACACACACACACACACACACACACACACACACACAAATTTAGGTTAGTCTTGAAATTGCTTCCTCTAGAATTATTTGAGTCAACGCACAAAGATGTTGTTCCCGGTTTGAATTTCATTTTTAATTAATGAAGGGAATCACTTATAGGCAGAAAAAGCTTCATAAAATAGAAAATTTTAAGTTTTCTTTCAGTATTTTTTTCTTTTTGAATATTTATTTTAATATTTTTTCAAAAGTATATAATACAAAATTTTTAAATAATGTTAAGAGTAGATGATTCTTCATTATTTCATTACATCTTATAGAGAGCTATTAAATAATGGCATCTGCATTTTCTTATATACATAAACACAGTCGCAACGGACAAACTTGTACATCTCAAGTATAGGTTAAATGTATTGCTTGAGTAGCGAAATATTGTTTCAAGATATCCATTTTTGCTGCTGTTTAATTACTTGAAATTGATGCAAAGTTTGACCTCAATAAATAAGTCAAATTTACTCCAACGTTAAATTTCTGTAATTTCAATCAATTCAATAAATTAATATGCGGCTTCTTGTTTTCTAATTATTTTTATTCTGTTGCAAAAATTTCTAGTTTGTTGTTATTATCTTTAATCTTTGGTCCACTGTATATTAAATTTACTTCCTTCCATCTTCATGAAAAATCATGATTTATCGGCAATTCGATGTTTCTCTGATTGTCATTATAATCAAATCGTCGTTTGAAAAAATCTGAAATGTTAAAAATGTTTCAATGTATAAACGCTGTTCCTGGCAAATCTCTTGCCGCGGCTGACGTGCAAGAGGAAGAGAGTGTAAAACAACAAACAATTTTTTTTCCAAATACTGCAGGGAATGTTAAGTGTGCATTAGTTTATGTTTTAAATCCTTTCATCGACAGTGGCAGAAAGCCACTTTAGAGCGGATTCTATGTTTTCTGTGTTTCGCTTGGGTAATAAAAGAGCCAGCGCTGCTCCACAGCAAAAGACACGGAGAGAGAGCAAATTTGCAGTTTTGTTTACTGTGCATTTCGAATTAATGCTTTGGAGACAGCTTTATGAATGGGGAAAAAACAAATTAAACTTAATGTTCTCTGTCTGTTACATTCTTTGTGTCAAACAAAGCTATGCAACGTCTTGCTGGGAGCCAGCCTTCATAACAGAATGCGCAAGAGGTCTAAAAATTGTATTAATTCCCTAATCCATCTTTGAACCTCTTTATTTTAATTTGCTTTCATATGCAAAGGAACATGATATTCATCATTGTCATTCATCCATCCAAAATTTCCAAAAATTCACAGATATTCTTTAGTAGAATTCATTATTGAGATGGACCAACATTGCAAATGTTTGTGCAAATTAAAAAATACTAAAAATTTGTGCGGCCCAATGGCATATAATTTTTGTAAACAGAAACTCGCCAAAGCCAAATTAGTTGTCTTGAAATGTGATAAGTGTGATAATTACTTTCAAAACTGGCATGGCTATGTGAGTGGAGAAAAAAAAAGATATTTCTGGACGCCGTGAATTCTAGTTACAAACTTTTACAGACTTAAGTAAAAAAACAACTAATTTTTACTCATAATATTAATTAGGTAAAATAAATTCCAATCACAATGCGATTTAAAAACAGGATACCTATATGGGCCAAATGTGCAATTTTAACTAGGCTTTCAGAATACAAAGTTGTGTGGGAGGCAACTAGAATTCACCAAGTAATTTAAAATTGACAAATAGAAAAATTATTGTAATTATTGTTGATGTATATTTGTAAAACGGAACAAAAATCAAGTAAATAAAAGTTTATAAAAATACATATTACATAATTTTATTCTATTGTACCAAAATTATTAATAAACCTATAAAAAAGCATAATTATAGTTCATGTTATAAAACTTTGCTTATAGACCAGTTTTGTCTAAATTATGAGAAGTGGTAAAAAGGAATGGCGCTCGAAAACATTTAAAAAACCATTTTCGTGGATGACGGCGCGTATAATATACAAGAGGCATTTATCAGCCTCGCTTCTTTCCAGATAGGTGAACCTGGCGTCATTAATTATAAGATGCCATGCGTCACAGAAACTTCCAGTGTTATTTATTGCCGCACTCAGCAAAAAGCAAAGGCGCGTGTTGTTCATTCCAGATAATTTTGCACGCTTGGTGTTGCTTCGTGATAACGCCATGATCCCGCACGTTTTGTTGCAAATTCATTTGTTTTGCTTCCATTCAAGCACAATTTTGGAGTTTAAAACAAAAGGAACAAATATACTCATTAACTTCTGCTTGAGTGGTGATGACAGTTTACAAGCCGTGCGCAAAATGAGCGTCTCTCTGTGCTCCATAGAACTTTTCCGTGAAAAACATTTTCTTTCTCCTTTGTGTTTGTTGCGTTTTAATCATTCAGGATGACTTCGTTTGCACGCTAGAAGATGGTGATTAAATAACATTATTAGTACACTTATGTATATTTACAGGGATAAGAAACAAAGTCAAGTTATGTCTTCTTTACTTAAGAAAGTGCTCGCTAAACTCTAACGTTGATAGGATTTGAGAGAGAAGCAAAGTTTGACTACTGAGCAAACATTTGAACACGCTTTTATGCAAATTTCCCTCTTCCTTTCTTTCAAATTTCAATCACTCGTGGATGTGGAAATCGGTTAAATTGAGCTAGCAACAAGCTTCCTTGCAATGTTGGCGCGAAGGGAAATGTGGTGAAAAATGTGGTCAAGTGCAAATTTATCATTCGCGAAAGCCTCAATTTTTTTCAATATATTAATTGACAGGATGAATTGAATGAAAAATTTAAAAGAATCCAATTTAACAAAAATAAAAAACGAGGTACAATTACTAATTATAGTTGCAATTTGCGTTTTAGGAATTATATAATTCCAAATAATCCTTTCTTTTATTATATTAACATTTATTTGTATATTTTATCACACAAAAATTAGACTTTAAAAAATTTATTGAGGAGTTTAAAAATAAAAAGTTTATTAAACTGAGCAAAAAAATTATTGCTCATCACTGCCAACACAGTTGTTGATATTTATAGAAATTTGTATATATTCAGAAAAAATTTGCTACTTTCAAAAACAAGGCTGTGTTGTTAGATAAAGAACGCTAATTAAAAAAGCAAATTGAAAAAACCATTTGTTATGGTGTTTTAAAAACTCATTTAAAGTCGAAAATTACGGTAGTTTTCCAGCTATCACGTTAATAAGGAAAATATAATTATTAGATCTAATTTACAATCTTGGTTTTTTTTTAATAAAAATAAATCCAATTCCAACAAATTCTCATATTTGGATACTGTAAGCTAATTATTCCTTTGTGAACGTTTATTTGTTAGTTCAAATGAGCCCAGAAGCAGAATCTTAATCCCCTCCCTGCAATATATTCTGCTTTCAGGAAATAATGCTTCCACGCAGCACAAAGAAAACGTTTCGCAGTTTCACTTGTATATCTTCATTATACTGGCCGCGCGTGTTTGCAGCCGAAACGAGCCAGCGACCCTCTCCTGACGGATGTGTTTACACCGGAGTCCTTATTGTGAGTGTTTTCGCAAAAAACGTCGGTTTATTGAGCGCGCGCCGCACCCATTCAAGGAAACTCTAGGCATTCGCACTTGCACGTGCGAAGCAAACTCACATTTTGCAAAAGGGTGTGAATGAGGGTTATGTGAAATTCAAATTTACGCAAGCGGTTCTAACTAGGGTTTCAATAGAATTCTGACGCAGCAGTAAACCGACGATTTAAATAATAACGTTAGAGAGAACGGAATTAGTAGAAAACATCAAAGTTCATATACAGGTGGCTTGAAAATGAAAATAAATAAAAAATTCAAGTTAATCTACTATATGTAAATTTTAAATTTGTTGTGTGGTTTTATCAGGTCATCTGTTTCCTAATACAACACAGCTCTTGCTATTTAAGAAAAAAAAATGGGTAATAACTGTAACAAGGAATAAATCACAATATCGTGATTGAGAGATTCTCATATTTTTATTTTTTTATTGATTCATTTATTTTTCTCCAACAAAAGTCAGAACAATCAATTGTAAAAAAAATTGTTGGAAGTAAAATAGGCACACAGTGCTAGTGAACAACTCACTGAAACTTTATTTATTTTAATCAAAGTACGCTCCAAATTAAAATTATTTAAAAAAAAACAGCTAATAAAACAATAAAATAAAATAATTGATTATAAATGCTAACTTTTCAAAGTCGTATTTGATTGCGTTAAAAATGTTGTTTTGGTACATAAGAGGATCCTCAAACCAAATTTGAAATAAAATTTCAGAATGGCTTTGTTAAATTTTTTTAATATCTTTGCTCCTAGTCATGATTTTCACACTCTAGACTGACTGAGAAATTTTTATTTTGGGCAGTTTTATCCTGTTCAGCATTTTTATGATTGTGAAAAGTTTAATTTACTAAAGTGCAAGCTCAGTTCTCCAGAATTTTATTTTAAATTTCTCATAATTAAATTTACTTGAATTTATTAAAAGCAATGTCCGGTTTTTGTTTTACGATTGAAGCTCATAAATATAATACAATTTTTTTACAATTCTTCCCATAAAATTGTTGTTAGAGAGTAATGTGCTTTTAGACAGTCAGTGCGCTGTGAAATTCGTATACTAAAATAAATTCTTTTTGCTTACCAAAACCATCAGTATTTTAATTTAAAAATTCAAAATTTCAATGCCAAAAGGCTCTTATAAAATTTACGGTGTTAGTAAAATTTAATTAATTAATAAGCAGCTTTTGATCAATAAGCTAATAAGATACATGTTGAATTAGTTTAGGAAGTTCTGCTGTCAACGAAGGGCTCAGCTTGAATCGGCAAATCGAGCTGCGTGTGCTGACGCCAGCAGCAGACCTCAATCCAACCACATTATTTATGCGTCCGCACAAGACGCAGGCGGCTAGAAGTTCACATATTTATGTACATATGTATGCGTTGGAACATTGGAGCGTATTATTAGGTTTCGCTCGTTTCGCCGTATTTCTCTATAAACACATCATCCAAGCTGCGTGTCTCGGCACACGGGGGATGTAAAAATAATCTCGCTTGGTTGCCTACATGCCAATAACAAAGCAGGATCATCATAGACAGGTTCTGTGCATAATTTTGCTTCAGTGAGCGTAATAGATACACGCTATTAAATGTGAAATTTGTATTCTTTATTGAAAATGGAAATTGTTGTTCTTTAAACAAGCATCAGCAGAGAGTGAATAAAACCAAAATGTTTTTCAATTATAATAAATAAATTTGAATCAAACAGTTTTTACATGATTTGTAGATTAAATTGTGGATAATGTGGATCATAAAAAATGGGTTAAACCTAATTTGCTAGAAAAAATGTAAATAAAGTAATCTCAATTTTACTTGCTTTTTATTAATTCAAAATTGAATGTCTTCATATTTTTCAAAGGCAATTAAAATTATTTCACCAATCAACCTCTTTTTGCTGCCATTCCTTTGGTTATTTCTCCATTCAACCCGTAAAAACAACAGCACAATGGTTAGTATTTGGAGAGAATTATTAAATTATTTTTATTTTTTCCCCCCATGACTCTCTATTAAAAAATTTGAATGGAGAATAACAATTAATAAAGTACTCTCAATGACTCTAAATTAGTTTGTAAAAACCTCAAATTAGTTCCTTTAAAAATTTACGGCGGAACAAAGATGGAAAATTCACCCTTAAAAACTCTAATTCCCTTCATCTCATTAAAACCCAAATTAGGAAAATTGCATGCAATTCAAATTAAATGAAGCGAAAAATGAACGTAACAAAAGAGGGCTCATCAAGCCGCGTGTCGCGTTCTCTCGCATCCACTGCCGAGAGCAATAAAGGCTACACGTTCATCCTTCCCGTGGAATCACGCAAACTTTGCGTGACACTCTGGCGTAGATTTTCATCATACCAAACCTCTGCTGAATGAACGCCAACAAGTATTTTGTGGAAAAAAGGTATGTATGTTAGCCCAGCAAGTCTCTGAGGGCGATGCAGCAAAGCACACACACGCGCCATACCTCGCCTTCAGCACCATTTCACAATGAAGCCATTCGCGTGCTCTGAGCGTTGTGTGATGTCAATGCCGCGTGCCACGGCGGGATGCTGCGACGGGAACGAAAAACATGCACGTCGCAATCGATGGAAAATTTACTGCACTCAAAGCCACGTTACGCAAAAAATGTATTAATATTGATAATTGGCAAACGTGTAGTGTATAAATCGGATAAAAATAAAATGTGACGCGTATAGCGCAGGATTCATGTTTTATTTTTTATGTGGGAGTTAACTTTAAAAGAGCAATTAAATTAATTCTATATGTCATTGATTGATTTACATCACGTTATTAACAATTAATGATAAAAAGTAATGATATTACAATATGCAAAACATATTGAACTCAAAATATAAAAATAATGCATAATATTGTTGTAACTTAACAATTACAAAGAACATTTCCATAAATATGACAGTAGCAAGGGTGAAGGCGCTGAAGCCCTTATTGGTCTCATGCTTTTTAAGGGTTGACTTTAGTAATAAGCAACCTGCTCGACAAAAAATATTAGTGTTAAATCTGAAAATCCTGAGAAGTAAAAAAATTTGACTTGAAAAAAGAAAAATTACCTCCCCTCTAATTATGAGCCATAAAAAATGTTTAATAGACTAATTCAGCATCTTTTTCCTTTAGAATCAAATTTTATTTCAAAATACAAATTAAATTGTGATATTTGCAAAAATTCCCTTCAAATAAACTTTTT